TGCGTGCCCTGAGGATGGGAGGGGCATGCCCTTCCCTGGGAAGAGGGGCCAGCAGGCTGTCTCTGCAGTGGGTTTGGGGACCGTGAGCAGCTGGATATGACCAACCCAGGATTTTCAGGAACCCAGGCTAGTGGCTGGTCAATCTCAGGCCAGGCCAGGCTGAGTGGCCACTGATACCCGTGTGAAGAAGAGCAACTGGAAATGTGTGGGATGGCTCCTGGGGCCCTGTGGAAGGGGACCTGGAAAGGACACCTTCCCTGTCCCCTGGTCAGCATCTCCCCATTTCCATTGGTCTGACATTAGCACCTCCTCTGCCATCTCCAGGGGTCCAGGCTGTCTCTATGGGGCCACCTCACTCAAGAAGTAGACAGATGTCTCATCGTGTCCCTGGCTTGTGCGCCTTTCTGGTCAGTCTCCTACTGGGGACAGAATCCTGTGGTTGAGGCCTCCCTGAAGCTCTTGGCTATTCAGAGGAGGCCTCTGTAGAGGGACAGCAGCATTCTGTCTCCATGGCCTGGCATCCTGATGCCTGTGAGGGTCAGAGGTGCCCCTCCTGCACTAGATGGTCCTGGACAGCCAAGTTGGGCCCTGATCAGGTTTCTGGATTCTATAGGACCCTGCCCCGTGTGGGCCCAGCCTTGTGAAATCACCGGCTTTTCCCACTGCCTGGTGCTGGGGTCCCCGGGGATATTCATTCAGTGGCTGCAGAAGCTTGAGAGTGCAGTAGTGGGTGTGAGCCGTCCTGAGCTTTTGCAGTGGTGGGTGTGAGCCGTCCTGAGCTTTTGCAGTGGTGGGTGTGAGCCGTCCTGAGCTTTTGCAGTGGTGGGTGTGAGCCGTCCTGAGCTTTTGCAGTGGTGGATGAGCTGTCTTGAGAGTGCAGTGGAGGGTGATGAGCCCTCCTGAGTGTTCAGTGGTAGGTGTGAGCCGTCCTGAGCTTTTGCAGTGGTGGGTGATGAGCCCTCCTGAGCTTGTGTAGATGCCAGGTCATGGCTGAAAGGTGATCTGTGGGCTGTGCATAGCCAGATCCCTTTCACAGTGTGCCCCTTGGGCTTTGGCTCCGAGGGCCAGGGTCCCTCTGTGTCCACCATGCTCCTTACCCTGCACCTCTTCCTACAGCGGCCTAGGTCACTCTCCTGGGCTGGTTTCTTCAGGCAGCAGATGTAGGCCATTGGCCACCTCATCCTGTGGTCTCTGTGGGGACTACAGAACAGGTGACTTGCAGCAGTGGATGGCCACCAGCCCTGAGAGTCCTTACGGGCCAGTCAGCAGTCTCCGCATGTGTCTGTCACTCCTTACCCAGGGCCTCCGCCTCTGAGTGCAGCTTTGGGGCCTGGTCAGGGCTCCACCAAGGGGACTTTGTGTCCTTATCAGAAAGCGTTGGGGGGTCGGTCTGTGTGGTCAGAGGGTGGGTGTGAGGATGTGGGTGCAGGCAGCCACAGGCCCCCCTTGCAGAGAGGCACTGGTTGGAGCTCAGAGGGCAGGGCTGGCAGCAGGTCACTGGGTCTCCTGCTGCCCCCTCCTTGCACCCCTCTTTTTGGATGGGAGCCATGGTGGTTCCTCTGTACTCAGAGAAGCAGCCTGGCCTCAAGGGCAGAGGCACCCCTGTAGATTCTGGGTCCCCCCCCCCGGGCCCCAGCTGGGCCACAGGGCTGTCCCCAGGTGAGGAGGCTCGTCCCGTTCCTCGCCACTAGAACACTCAGGGTCCCTCCAGGGGACTGGGCTGCGTGAAATGACCGCACAGAGACAGAGAGACCTTTCTTTGGGGTCCTGCGATGGCTCCCCTTACCTTCAGGGTCCGTGGAAAGAGAGGGCGAGAGCACGTGCTGACCCCTTTATTGAGGAGAAGCCATTCTAATGAGGCCAGAGTCAGGTTTCGGGGGGCGGAGTCTAGCTTGGTGATGTCCACTGTCTGCAGGCTGACTGACACCTGGGTAGGCCACCCCAAGGGCAGAGCAAGAAAGGGGACACACAAAGGGCGTTTCCATGGAACATTCTGTGCCAAACAGGGCACAGGGGTAACATCACCAAGGAACGGGTGGGCGGAGCTCAGTCCATGGGGCGACGCGTCCTCAACCTCGGGGACCAGGGCAGTGTCCAGGTCACTATAGTGACGGTCGGAGCCTCTCCGCTCAGGGAAGGAGAATGCAAACTTATTCAGACTGGTGCCCACAGAGGCTGGCTGGTAGTGGCCACGTGGGGACATCCCAGCTTCACACTGAGGTCTGGCTGGCCAGGAGAACCCACAGGGTATAGGAGCAAGGCTGGAGGCAGGTGCCGGTCGTGGTCCTGAGTGGTCCCTCGTCCCATGATCTTTCCTTCTGCCTCATCTGGAAGCTGGATCTCAGAAGGAAGCTAAGAACCCCTCCAGCTGTGAGCTGAGATCTGATCTGAGGTGCCCCCACGTGGGCGCTCCTGACCTGAGACGGGCACCTGGCCTAGACCGCAGGCTGAGAACAGGCTGAGTCCTGCTGGCCTCAGGCCTGGCTCTGTGGCCCCGTGGTCTCTGTCCCCAAGGCTTGCACACTGCAGCTGCTGCCTGGAGCCCTGCTGGAGTTTGGTGGCATCTATACACCCAGGGACTTGGCATGTCCTCGCACTACCACGAGGGGAGGGGTGAAGACTGTAAGAAGGGGGTCCAGTGGGTGTAGGACCTTGGAGCCGGGGGCTGCAGAGGACCTGGGAGACACTAGCAGGGACTGGGGCCAGGGCCCTGCCCAGTGCGTCTGGAAGGAGCAATTGGGGTGAGAGGCCTGGGGCACTGGGACCTGTTGGTGAGGTGGGAAGGATGGGCACCACCCTGGCTAAGGTGGCCTGTGGGGAACCTGGGCACAGTGTTACCCACCCCCTGTCCCTCCCAAGCCCTGCACCCATGTCCATGTCCTGTGCTGGCCTCTCCTGTCACTGTGTCACACACTGTGGCCTTGTCTGGCTCTCACTGAGCACGAGGTCCTCAGCTGCCTCTGTGCTGCAGCTGTGTCACCTTGCTCCCGCCGGTGGCTGTGACGCTTCAGGTGGATGGCTGTGCTGCTGTCTGTCTGAGTGCCCGCTGGCCGTGCAGCCCTCCTCAGGCTGGTGTGTGCACGCCTCTGTGTGCACCTGCCTTCCCGTCTCCGATGTGTGCTGGGGGGGAGTCGCTAGGTCTGCTGGCACCTACTTCTCCTTTTGAGGTGCTGTGGGCTATTCTCCAAGGGCTGCGCCATTTTGCACTCACCTACAGTCTGTGGTGCCCAGTGGCTGTCTGGTCACATGGCCACGTTGCACCTCTCCCTGGACTCCCTCTCCAGCCCAGGTCTGGACTCCCTTCATGGTCAGAGAAGCCAGCTGGGGTCCCCACATCACACACCACCTTCATTGTGACCTCTCCGGCTAAGTCTGAAGTCTTCCCTGCAGGTGACAAGGGCTCTTTCTTGTAACAGTATCCTTGAGCCTTGGCTGGCAGCGTGGGGCCTGAGACTCCTAGGGCTGCACTTGGAATGGGCATCCACCGGGCCTGGTGGCTGGGGTGGTGGGCAGGGCTCCAACACTACCGGGGGGGGGTGCCACTAGGTGCACTTTGGCCAGTGGAAAGGGTGCCGGGGAGCAGGCCCTGCTTGCTGCTGGGCCCTTGGATACAGCCCACGTGCCCTAAGGACCACCTGAGGTCACTTGGGCACTGCCCAGGTGGCCCCTCCCCTGCAGTCCATAGCTGTCCTTGGAGCCAGTAAGCACCCCCACGTGTGGAAAGGGTCAGCTTGGGATTCTGCAGAGAGGGGTGCTGGCTGGCCTGCTCCTTGAGGCCCAGTGCCCTCCACAGCGACTGAGCCCTGATGAATGTAGATCCTGCCCAGGGGCCAGCACCCCCCTTGAGAGGGAAGCCAGCATGGTCGTGTCTGGACCTTGGGGAAGGATGCCTGCAGCAGCTGGAGTGTCTGGCGGCCTTGCCTGCCTACCCCCACACAGACCATTTCCCGGTGGGAAAACTGAGGCCCAGCAGAGCTCAGGTGCCAAGTCGTCTGAGGTTGGGTGGCTGTGAGGAGTGGGGCCAAGCTTCCCTGCAGGCCTGCGTGGCCCAGAGTCTTGATGAGGATGGCCAAGACCCTAGCTCACAAAGCATCCCTGTGTTCATTGTGGGAGACAGTCACTGCTTAGGGCCTGCAGGCGAGGAGGGCCTCCCAGAGTCCAGGCATTTGGCCACAGGAGGAAGTGACATCTCCACAGCAGGACTGAGCAGAGCAGAGGGTAGGCTGGCCTGGGGCTGGGACAGAGCAGACATCCCTGTGCTTCCTGACGGGCTGTGGGCCCTTTCCCTGCTGCTGTCCCCTGTGCTTGGAGCACAGCAGAAGGCAGCACCCCTCCCCCACGGGGTTGCGTAAGCTGCTGCGTGTGGCTGGACAGGGCTTACTGGAAGTCCCACGGATTTCTTCACTCCAGAGCTTGGCCTCGGTGTGGCTGCCCTCCCCTTCCTGCCTGCCTGGGTGATTAAGGCTCCGGGCTGCTTGCCCATAGAGCACGCCCGCTGCCCTGCAGGCTGCCCTGGGGTCCCTGCTGTCTCCCAAAGGGGGGCTCTTGGCCCTTTAGTGGGACTAGCCAGGAGCCCCCTGGGAGAGTCAGATTTGTCCTCAGGCATCTGACAGTGTGGGGACTCAAGGTCCACCTGCCATCCAGACCACGGACATTTTCAGTGTTGTCACTAGTGCACCCTGACCTCAAAACCAGGTCTGGGGCTCTTCCCAGATCAGCTGGGCCCCTCAGTACCCCCAGGAGTCCCCCTGGCAGTCTCATGTGGTGCTGAGGGGCAGTGTTCCTTTGCAGACTGGAGGTGGGTGGTACCGCAGGACCCTCCCAGAAGACTGGAGGAGGGCTGTGAGCAGCAGGGGAGGTGGGTGGGGCGAGCAGGAGGAGCCCCTGGAGGCTCCAGTGCCCAGCCCAGCAGCTCCCAGCCACAGCCTGGCCTGCAGGTTGGGAGGGAGCAGTGAGTCTCAGGACAGCCTCAGGAAGAAGCCTCACTTCTTTCTCCACAGGACGAGATGCCGCCACCACGGAGCAAGAAGCCCAGATAGGTGCCTTGTGGCCCTGGGTCTCCCAACCCTCACCTGCTGCCACCTGATGCTCGCAGTGGGGCCTGTCATGGATGGGGAGTGCCCTCAGCACGAGCCCCCGCCAGTGGGCAGCCTCCTCTGTCCCACGTCCCCACTGCAGGTGAGCCCCAGCACCCCGATCTCCTGGACTGCTTGAGCAGGACTCATTGAACACTGCGAGGTGAATGCTGACCAAGGTGGCCTTCATGTGGGACGCTGCACTGGGCAACCTGTCCATGACCCTGACCTCAATCTTCTCAGTCCGGAGCCTGGCTCCCCAGTTCCCCCATGTCAGGAGAGGGTCCTGTGTGAGGGTAAGGGGTCTGCCCTGGCCTCCAGCTGCAGGAAGAGTCTTGGGGCTATGTGCCTCCTGCTGGCCTCCAGCCTGCTGGGCAAGTGCTCTGCCTTGAGCCACACCCAGGCCCTCCCTCTGCTGGGGACTGAAACCAGGGGCTCTTCCACTGAGCCGCACCCAGCCCTTTTCCTTTTACTTTGGGCCGGGGTCTCCCTAAGTAGCCAGGCTAGCCTGGACCTCGCCCTCCTCCTGCTTCGGCCTCCCCAGTCTCTGGGTTTATATGTGTGGGCCATGGCATCCTAGATGTTTTCTTTCAAAACACTTACTGGCCCTTTGGGAGAGCCGTTCCATGCTGCCCCTGCCCTGCCTGGCTGTCCCTTCCAGGGCAGCTCAAGTTGACCTGTGGGAGCCAGAGTGGATCACTTCATTGTTTTTTCTTTCAGTTTAATAGACAATTTCTTAAGCAGTGTTTGGTTTACAGGAAAATTGTTCAGAAAGCCCTGTGTCCCTGTCACTGCGTCCTGTGTTAGTGTGGCCAGCCTGTCAGAACTGATGGGTCAAGGCTAATACACTGTCATGAACTCAAGTCAGAAGCCTACCTGAAGGTCACTCTGTGTTGGAGAGTCTGTGGCTCTTGACATGGGAGTACCCCACAGTTTCCACGCCCTAGAAGTCCTCCAGGCTCTGCCTGCTGCCCTGCCCCCCTGCTGGGCTGTGGGCACACTTCTGCCCTCTCCAGGATGTCAGGCTGGAGTTGCCCAGGGGGTGGCCTCTGCAGCCTGGGGCCTCCCTGGTAGCTGCCTTTGGGGTGCTCCCGTCTCATAGCTCAGGAGCTCTTTCTTTCCAGCACCACGTACCATCCCCTGTTCTGGGTGGACCTCTGCCCTGACTCAGTTGCCCACCCAAGGACATCTTGTTGCTTCCAGTGTTTGACCACTAAAGTGTCCCAGACACAACACCAGGGTTCAGCTCTGCCCGTCATGTCAGAGCTGTGGGAGGTGCCAGGTCCCTAGGAGGAAAGGGCCCTGAGCAGAGCTGGCTCTTGCCACAGTGGAAAAGAAAACAGAGTGGGGACTCACAGGGAGCTGGGAGTTGCCAGAGGCCCAGGTGGGGTGTGACTTGGGAGGCTGCCCCAGAGCGGGCAGGTGCCTCTGGCTGGGGCTGTTATGGGATCCACTCTTTAGTAAAACCTCAGCTCCTTCCTTCTGCTGGGGTGGGCCCAGGCTGGTGCTTGTCCACCCAGAGCCAGCCTGACACAGATGGGGCTCTGGACATTGCTCCAGAGGACACAGGAGGTGAGGAAGGTTGGGCGGGAGGACGGCAGCAAGAACAAGCCAGCTGTGGTTCCCGCAGAGCCAGGACACGGCTGCCTGTGTTCCAGAGCGTGGGAGGAGGTGCAGGCACCAGGGTTCCCCAGACCTGCGCTGGAAAGGCTTCAGGGGCACACGAGCCCTCACCCTGCACAGCTGTGCCACACCCCACCCTGCTGTGGCTGAATGTGGAGCTACGTTGCATAAAGACCCTGTGCACATCCCTGGGAGAGGAGCCGACTCTTCCGGAATGAAGGGCTGGGCTGGTGTCCCGCGCCTACAGCCCAGGGCGTCGTGCTCTGTGCCCAGCTCCTCTCTGTCCTCCCCTCCTGGGAAGCTGTTGAGCACCCACCTCCGCCTCCCTCAGCTGCTCACCAGTCATGGCCATGGACACCTCCTCCTGGTGATTCCTCATCTGCACAGCCATCATTCGCTTAATTATCTCCCTGCTGCTAAGCCCTTGGGGAGAGGCCAGTTTTCCTCTGCTATGAACAGTGCTGCCGTATTTTCTGCCCCCTCATGGATTACTTCTGGGGGGGGGGTGTATCCAAAATAGGATTCCTGGGTCAGAACGAGAGCTGGCATTGTGCAGAGGATGGAGCTGTCCCTGCTGCCATGTCCCCTTTACTGACTGGCAGGCTGGGGCTCTGTCTGAGCAGCTGTCAGGGCTCAGAAATGCATCTGGGCAGGGCGGGGATGCAGTCCCTGGTGTGAGGTGTGGATGGAACCCTGACTGTCCCCAGCCCCCAGAGAGAAGGCTCCCTGGTGCTCACCAAGCTTAGGCTGCTGCAGGGTGTCTGGTGGCCATCTACAGGCCATGCTGGGGACCTGGCCTGCCCTTCCTGCTTCAGAGAAAGCCAGACTGCCTTTCCCACTCCAGTAGAAAATCCCTAGACAAATTCTAATTGGAGCACAGCTGCCCAACTCTGGCCAGTTACACCCCAGGGACTGCCCTCTGAAGATGGAGCCACCCCTGGTACCAGCACAAAGTCCCAAAGAAAGCTCTGATTGGCCAGCTATGTGGAGTCACCCTGTAAGGAGGATCAGGTGCCCCTGAGTGGACAGAGGTTGGGGGCCTGGGTGGACAAGCCATTACTACCCCTCACCAGGTGGAGGCCTAGAGCCTGTGCTACCTAGGGGGTCCTCTGGTCCTGGGGCTCCTTCAGGGCAGCCTAGGCCTAGGTGGAGCATGCTAGGAGAGCTGGGCCTCAGTCCTCTCGCCTCTACTTACACACTAGATGGCTTACTGCAGCTCATCTTAAAGGCCCAAGTAGGCTCTGGAAAGTTCTGCCTTGGGGAGGCCGGGCTGGGCCTGGGTTTCCCTCTGCCTGACTGGGGCAGAAGGCCGAAGGCACTAGGCCAGGGCTCTGGGGAGATGTGGGGTTGCCAGCAGACCCCACCTGGTCATGGTGGCCCCACCTCCTCCCATTGTGTTCTTGAGGAGGGTAGGTACTGGAGCTGGAAGCCTAAGAGCCCCGGGCCCTGTGCTGGAGAGACGCTTCGCTGTCCATTCTGATAGACTGCCTCAGCAGCCCTTGGAGCCCTGGAAGCCCAGCTGTCCGCTGTGGCTGGGCTGGGCTGGGCTGGGCTGGCTTGGCTGCTGGGGTCCTGCTCTGGAGGCTGGCAGACCCCAGGAGGTTGGGGTAGGGTAGTGAGGATGCAAAGCTGGTGAGGGAGGCCGTGCAGCCACCTAGGCTGGTGCCGGCTAGCACCCTGGTCCCAAGTCTGAGTGGATGCGGCTGGGCAAAGGGAACTGTCCGGCTCCATAGGGGTCTGGGGAGGGCTTCCTTGCCAGGAGTGTGGCAAACAACCCCCTGCCCTGGTAGCTGATGTGACCGTCAGACCTGGCTGTGACAATGAGAGGGTGCCCAGCCGGTGGCCTCTCCTCAGTGACCACGGGAAATTCCCATCTGCCAGTCAAAAGAAGCCAGGGCCCCAGTAGGGGCTAACCCTGGGGCACTAAGGGACACTACTGAGTGGCCCCCCACACCCTGGGGAAGGCCTCAGTACCCCCCCCATGAGGCCCTGCTTTCACCTTGGATTGGGCTGAGCTAGGCACACACTCTGCCCCTGAATCTCATCCACAGTCCCCCTGCCACTCCAGGGGCCCTGGACCTGGTGGGGGCGCTCCCTGGGCGGGTGCCCTGGGCTCTCTTTCAGACAGGAAACCGAGGCACGGTGAGGCTATAGTGCCTGGGTGGCCAGCAGGGAAGCCCTGGTTCCCCCCCTTGTTCTGACCATGGCAGCAGCTGTGGCAGGGTGAGGCTGGGGTCTGGCCCCCCCTTCCTGCCTGTGCCTGATTGCACTCTCACTTCCAGAACCCCCTCCTGCACTATCCCTACCCCTGGTGGAGCAGCTTCCCACAGGCACCGCATCCAGCCTTCTCCAGTGACAGCCAGTAAGTGTCTGAGCCCTGGTCCTCACCCACCTGCCCTTGGGCCGCACTGGTTGCCCAAGGCCCTATTGAAATTAGAGCTCACAGCCCAGGTGCGTGGGCCTGGCCAGCTCTGACCTGCGGGCTGGATGCTTAGGGCTGCAGAGGTTGTGTTTACCTGAGGCCTGTACTGTGACCAGCTGGGGCGCATTAGGAAGACCTAGCCTAGGGCCTAGGGGTGAGAGTGGGGAACCAGGCAGGGCTCTTGTGCAGAGGCTGGTCAGGAACTGGGAGGTGAGTAGAACCAGGAGGGAACCTTTCTCCAGAAGGCCACAGCTGAACTGGGTTTTGAAGGATCAGTAGGAGTTTGCCAGGGGAGTGGGCCTGAAAGTGGGCCTATTCATAGCAAGAACTTTTGGGAATTCTAGAATACTTTGGAGTGAGCATGCTTGTCATCCCAGCAGCTTGGGAGGCTGGGGCAGGAGAATTGCCAGTTCGAGGTCAGTCTCAGCAAATTACTGAGGCCTTAAGCAACTTAGTGAGATCCTGTCTCAAAATGGGCTGTGATGTGGCTCAGTGGTTAAGCACCCCCGGGTTTAATCCCTAGTACCAAAATAATGGTGATGATCCTGGAGTGACTGTTTTGGGCAGAACGGGGTGGGGGATGGTTTCCAAAAGCACGGGAAGGAAAGATGAGATGCTCTTTTCATGTTCGTTTTTCAGGGATGAGGGGTGGCTGTCCTGGGAGCCAAGGGAGCCCCAGAACTTGGGAGCTGGGAACAGGAAGGCTGAGGGGCACTGACCTCTTCCTCCCTGTCCCCACCTCTGCACAGCCCACCTGAGGCTCAGCCTCCCAGCTGGGGTGGCCACGTTGGGGTGGCCACATTGGCCCTGCTACTCCTCATTTTGGGGTGAAAGGGCAGAACGGTGTGGGGACAGTGACAGGATCCCACCTTGGAGGAAGATGCTCCTGGGTCTCCGGGCTGTACTTTTGTCTGCCCTGTCAGGATGTAAGTCGGACGTGAGGCCAGGGAGTCGTGTGCAAAGGGCCAGCAGAGCTTTCAGTGGGCTCTCCGACCTGCCTGCTGCATGCAGGGTGGTCACCATCGGGAGTGGGTGCCGCACGGTGTCTGCTGGGAGCTGCTGCAGTCACTCTGCTGAGCTCCAGTTTGGGGAGAGGAGGGAGCCCCAGTGGTGAGCCCAGCAGACCGCCATCCCCCACGGTTACCTCCTCCCATCTCTCTTTCCAGTCAGTTCATGAGCCCCACCTCCTTTGGCAGCCAGCCCTGCCTGGACACCAGCTACCCTGCTGTGGCCACCGCCCCCAGCTTCCTGCCAAAGAGCAGCGACTTGCATCAGGTAAGAGCCACAAACTCATCTGTGGCTGGTGTCCGAGGGCATCTCACTTGGGACACTGCGGCCATAGGTCCTCCCGGAGACCCGATGACCTTGACTTGGCCTGGGGCCCCTGGTGCTGGTCAGGTGCTGTTAGCAGCAGGAGGTGTAGCTTGATTTCTGGGAGCAGCCTTGACTGCTGTGGGCAGGAGGAGCAACCTGCCTGGCCCTGGGGGCGTCACCTTGGGTCTGTGCACCAGTGTGCTAGGAGGCACCTTCTTCATGACAGGGAGCTGGGCCAGAATGGGGCACTAGACAGATTGCCTCCCCACAGAGGTGGCCCCCCATGGCTGTCCTAGCCCCACCTCGCTGCTAAGCAGCAGCCCTGGGGTCCAGCATGCCAGGTGACCCCACAGGGAGCCCTGTGCTGGACTGGGAGCCAGCTTGCGCTTGCAGTGAGGGACCAAGGGGTGTCGCGCTGTGGGATATTGGTGGCTTGGTGGGCCCAGCACCGTGGGGCACACCTGTCTTCCCAGCTGCTGGGGAGGCTGGGGCAGGAGTACCAGTTCCAGGGCAGCCTGGAAAGGGCTGGGTGGCTCAGTGTGGGGCTGCCGGTCTGGCGTGGGTGGGGCCCTGGGGGCATCACGTGCCACACACAGAAGGAACCAGCTGCGTCCTGGGGTGCCTTGGCTTGGCATCTGGTTTGGGAACGAGGCACGTTGGCTCCGTCTCTGTCTGTGTCTCTCTGGGTCTCTGTCTCTTCTCCGTGTCTGTCTGTCTGTTTCTGCTTGTCTCTCTCTGTCCATTTTTCCATGTCCTTCGTTTCTTCGTCCCTGCCTCTCTCCCAGCTCTGCCAAGAGTGCAGGAGCCTGGGGTGGCTGTGCCCCTCTGGCTGCTGCATGTGTGAGCCTTGCTCATCTCGGCATGTGGTCTGGCAAGTGTGGGCCAGTGCCCGCCCCTTAGAGGGGGCCGTGCCATCCCGCCTGTGCCGTGCATTGAGTGCCTACTGCACCCGAGGCCTGCTAGCGTGCTGGGGCTGGCACCCTGGTTGGGTCAGGTTGGACACAGGCCTCCCTGGGAGAGAGCCACACGCCTGGTCCCTGCCAGCCTCTCCCCTCCCAGGACCCCAGGCCTGTTGGCTGGGCCTGGGTCCTGTGATGCAGGAAGTTTAGACCTGACCCTGGCCAGCCTCCCCACACCACAGCCCCTGCTGCTGGCACACAGGACGGCTGGCAGAGGAGCCCCGTCCTCCTCCCAGGGCAGAGGGCTCTGAGGTGGGATCAGGGGAGGCCCTGAGCTGGGGTCACCCAGGGTCACCTCAGGGTCCTCCTGAGAGGAGGCAGGAGGGTGAGAGTCAGGGAGCCTGGAAGACGCTGGGCTGCTGGCCCTGGAGCTGGAAGAGAGGGACGTGACTCTCCCTGGGCTTCGGGAGGGCCAGCCTGCACACCTGGGTCTGGCCAGGGTGGCCCAGTCGGCTGCGACCAGAGCCGAGACGTTGCAGGTGCTTGTTGGCCGCTGTGGCACCGGCAGGGCTCTGCCTGGCAGCAAGAAGAAACTGGGCCTCCACGCGGCTGGCGGCCAGCTGCTCGGCTCCAGCCGCTGTCCTGCAGCTCAGAAGGAGCTGGGGTGGCGTGGAGCAGGGCTGGGTCCCGGCTGGAACCACCAGGCTTTTCCTTGACAGCTGCCAGCCCTGGGTCTCCTGGCAGCTGGAACAAAGGAGAAAGGCGGCGAGCCCTGGGACCCCTGGCCTGCGGGAGAGAGCCCGCCCCTCTGTTGCTGAGTCCTCCCAGTTTCCTTGGGGCACCATGCGTCCTCCCTGTCCTGAGCTGCTTAGTCTGGGCTCCGGCCTCCCTGCCTGGATTCTGCAGAGCTGCCCGCTGGGTCCAGTACCAGAGGACTGGCTGCAGGAGGGGCTCTCTGGAGCGCTGGGCTCTGGCACACGGCAGCTCAGTGTCAGAGAGGCTTCCTGACCAACCGTGGAGTTAAGACAGTCCAGATTCATGGAAATGTTGCAGGAACCGAGTCCCTGAGCACCGCCCTCCCTCAGCCTCCCCGTGAGAGATGGCCTCAGGGCCGGGCCACCCTGGCACAGCACTGGTGCCCAGATGCCACCTGGCTCCTGTGGCTGTCCTGCTGAACCTCACCAGCTGTTTGTGGATGTCCCTGTGCTGCGAGTGCTTGTCCCATGATGAGCTGGAGGTTCTGAAGTGCAGGCAGGAGTCCTGCAGCTGTGGTGGTGGGTCCTCCTGGGGGCCCAGTTTGGAGGCCCCATGCGGACATCTCTGATGCTGAGGACCAGGCGCAACACTTGGCTAGGGGGTGTCTGCGGGCTCCTACGCGGGGAGCACGGGTGGTCCCCTGGATGCACAGCCTGGGCACCGTGGGAGCCTGCGTGGACCCGCCGTGCAGTGTGGCTGGGTGGCCGCCTCATGCCTGCTCCTCCATCATTGGAATTCTCTGTAGGGACAGATGTCCCTTCTCCCCTGCTGTTTAGTGTTCTTCTCATTGGGAGGCTCATGGGTGTTTATGCAACGCGTGGGTCACTGTAGATGGTGCGGTGACCAAGGCATGGCCAGCAGTGCTACAGGGCCACCAGAACGTTGGGGCCTGTCCTGAGAGCCGCTGCCCCCCCACTGCCCTGGGGGGGGGCACTACTGACCGCCCACTAAGCCAACCTTGGAGAGGGGCTCCTTTCCTCACTAAGCCATCTGTCTCCAGGGTGGCATGGGGCCACCAGGCTTGCATGTCCCTGGGCAGTGGCCTGGAGCAGCTCTAGGGCTCCCCGAGGACTGCCCTACAGGGCTGCAGGTGTGTGGGAGTACTGGACTGGTGGCTTTGCTTCCACGGTTTTTATAAATTGAGATGATTCATAAAACAGAAAAGGCATCATCTCACTGGGCGTGGTGGTGCGTGTCTGTCATCCCAGCAGCTCTGGAGGCTGAGGCAGGAGGATCACGAGTTCAAGGCCAGCCTCAGCAAAAGCAAGGCACTAAGCAACTCAGTGAGGCCCTGTCTCTAAATACAAAATAGGGCTGGGGAAGTGGCTTAGTGGCCAAGTGCCCCTCAGTTCAATCTCCAGTACCCCTCAAAAAAAAAAAAAGAAAAGAAAAGACACGACACCATGTCCGAGTGCCCAGCTCTGTGGTTCTTACTACATCCCCTGAGCTACGTACCCATCACACCAGCTCCAGGACGTCACCGGCTCGTGGCCCGGTGGCACTCCAGGTGAGCGAGACCGCACCGTGTCCACCTGTCTGTGTGGGCTGTGCTGGTGTCCACCATCTCTGGAGCTCACTCGAGTGGAGTGGCTGCTGTGGTGAGCGCTGCTGCTGGGCGGAGTCGGGCTGGACAGTAGCTGGACATGTGTTCCAGATGAGGCTGGGTTGGATTGGGGTGCCCTTGAGGACACACTGGGGCCAGCGGCGTCTGGAGCCCCGCTGGCCTGCTCCTTGTGCTGAGTGGGCTCTGTGCAGGCTCCCCGGCCCCTCCTCTGGTTCCTCATCACCCGCTGCATTCCCCAGACCCATCCTTGGTGCAGTGCTGCCTCGAGGTCCCTGGGGTCCTGACTGCAGGCCTCGGTTGTCGCCCCCAGTGGCCATCCCCCACAGACACCCTGCACTTCCAGGGGTGGGTACTTCTGGACCCCCGCATCTCGGCTGCTCTGCCCTTCCCCCACATTGCCACTGGCCCTCCATCTGTGAGGACGCCTCCCAGGAGTGGTCAGCAGGCTGGGCCTGCACCCGGGTCCCTCCGTGTTGCTGGACTATCAGGAGGGTGTTTGTCCAGGAGCAGTGTGCTGTTGCCAGCCTGGGGGCTGCTGGGAAGCCAGGGATGAGCTCACGCTCGGGAGAGTGCCGCCTGAGCTGCCAGCCCCCGCCACCCAGCCCCTGGCCTCCACTCTCCTGCTCTGCAGACGCAGCTCAGCAGGTCAGAGGCCTGGCCCACCCTCGGCCAGCTTCCCAGTTACCGCAATGGGTGGAAAGAGAGGGAGAGACAGGAGAGGGCATCCTTACAGCAAGCCCTGTAATTCCCCACCTCTGCCCCGTGGCCTGAGGAAACCCGGGAGCTGGAGGCTTCGAGGATCTTCAGGGAGGGGGACCCCGCAAAAGCTACTGGCCAGGGAGTGGCTGCAGGAAGGCAGGCCCTGGCTACAGCGTTAGGTACACAGTGGCTGAGGCTGGGCCTGCCCCAGGCCTCTGGGCCCTGTAGGACTGTGCACAGGCAGAGCAGAGTTTGGGGCGGAGAGCAGAGTGTCCTGGGACTGCTGTCCCAGAACGCCGGGGCCTTGCAGTCCTGGAGGCCGGTCTGGTGTCCAGTATGTGTAGGGCCATGCTCCCTGCAGAGTCCACCTGCGTCTCTAGCTCCTGGGAGCACCAGGTGTCCCTTGGCTTTGGCCACTCGTCCCCAGCCTCTGTTGTCACTCAGCCACCTCCTCCATGCTCTGCTGTCTGTGTCCCTCTGTCTCATGAGGACACCTGTCCTCAGATGAGGGCCCACCCTAATTGATGTGACCTCATCCTCATCAGTCACTTCTGTACAGAGCCATTTCCAAATGAGGCACAGGTCCCACGGGTCAGGATCAAAGGTGTCATTTTGGGAGACACAATCCCCTCTCCACAGGAAGCCAGAGGCTCTTCCCAGACATCCGAAGCAATGCCCCAGCAGCCTTCTCTGACCCGCGGCTTCCCAACTTGAGGGACAGAGCAGTCCCCTGCTCAGTCTGCTGCAGTGACTTGGAAGCTCACCCACTGCAGGGCTCTTCCAAGGGCCCAGCCAGGGCCACCATGCCCTTCCAGGGCTCAGTGAGGGCAAGAGGTGAGGAGGAGGCCCCGGACCTGGCAGGGGTCGGGTGGCCCCAGGCCTGTGTCCACATGGTCTAAGGATCAGTCTGTCCCACGGCATGGACACAGCCAGACGGGCACAGCCCACCCAACCAGGTGCCACTGAACAGGTCCTCTGCCTGTCCCTGACACTCAGTCAACATGCCTCCCTCCTCAACATCCACTCCAGGCCCAGTGTCTGGC